ATCCACGTTCGGGAGCAAAGAAAAAGTGGAGATTTAATTACGTTCCGTCAATTTCTCGATAATGTCTTTCCAATGTTATGTGTTTAATTCCAACAATATGCTAGGCTAATTTTTCTCATGTATTGGATGAAGATAAAACCCGTTATTATTTATTCTTAATTCGAGATACGTGGTTTAGTTAAATTCTTGCAACTCTTGATTAATCTTGCATGCTTAATTTTATTATTTGATCACCAATTAAATATGTGGTTTCTTGTTGCAGTATTGAGAATCTCACAATAAGTTTAGAACACTGCTTGATTAACATATGTGCAATAAATTTTAGGAATAATATTTATCACATGTACAATCTCTAAGATAATTGTGAAATTGAATGCATTCTATTCATATGAATTCGCACTAGGAATATATTCGGGTCGTGATTAGGATATATTTAATTTGTCATGAAAAAGAGAATTAATTACAATAGAATTATCGATTATCAAGAATACAAGAACGAAACTAGTTACGTAGTCAATAATTGGAATAGATGATAATAGGTGGATTCGTAATTTAATACACTCTTCCCATATACATATTAAATCCGCATTTTACACGTTTTTGTAGATTAAAGTAGAATAATTAAAAATCACAAAAATCATTTTTATTTGTTTACTTTGAATCTAATTAAATACTAGTATACTCAATTAAATTTTATTCCTTGTGTGACGATATTCGTAACTCACTAAATTTATTACTTGTTAACAATCCCGTACACTTGTGGGTTTCACACGAACATGAAGTATCCACCTCTACCCTACAGTGGACTTAATTGAACCCTTTTCTCCATTTGTAGGAAAATATTACAATTATTGTGCAAATGTTGCGAAATAGTAAAAATTCAATGTGCATAGGTCAAGTGTTGTTTAATCATTACATTCTATAAATTTTTTCTTAAAAAACGAGAGCAAGTTGATAATCTTTGTGTCAATTTTGTCAAGAAAAAGAAGGTTTTATTATTATGTAGTCTTAATGTTTGTTGGGATACTTAGCTTATTGGCGCTGACTACATTTAATATAAGTGGAGTTAAAAATATATACTAATAAAATATTTCGTGTACAATTTTTCTCAAATAAATGAATTTAAAAATCATGTAATTTAGTCATCAAATTAATTTAAAAACTTACAATATTCTATCCTTGATCTGCTGCAACGCCTCAGCCATTATATTGTCAGCTTGTTCTTGAAGACTTAATTCCACACATTTCCAATCCCTCAAGCATATTATAGTCTCCAATATGTCTTCTTTTAGACTTGATTGTTCATCTGACAAAACCCTATCACCTAAACTAAATGCAGCTTCCAATGCTGCTAGACATTAAAGGAGTTAGTAAATTACGTACAATTTTTGATACAATGGATACTATCTTTCGTTACACCTCTACCAAGGTTGAAGAACAAATTCTTCAATTGTCTTTGTTGTTACACACTACGAATATCCACACACATATACCTGGCTAACTTAGAGGGAGTTTCAACATCTATACCACAAAAACATCTATCGCTCTAGATATGAATGAACTAGAATTAAATAATGGAGTACTTGTGTTAGTGTTAAAAAAATTCCATATATCATCAGAATTCTTTTAGTATTTTCTTAAAACGGTACTTTGCAATCCAGAACTGCTCTCACATCATTTTCAGCACAATAGTTGTACATTTTACATAATAAAGATTCTATATGTACATGTAATAATTTCACATTCATATAATTTGAAACTTCCTTTATAATAGCTTTTGTGCCAGTTAAATTAACTCGAGGGTACATCATCGAAGTTAAAAGAAATAAAGAGGACAACTCTTCCCAATATTTTTGAAATTTTAAACTCCAAAGAAAAGATTGTATCAACAAAAATTAGCATAGTCCTATATTTATTTATTAAATGTTTGTGCAATGTAGAAAAGTGTTTTAAAATAAGAGAAACATGCATTGTAAAAAAAAAAAAAATTGAACCATTTCTTGCATACTAAATTCTTGTATAATATCTTTTAAAACCATGAACATGTTAGTGGCTTTATGCGGATATTCTACTAATCTAAATGTAATAATCCTGGATTGGAGATAGTTTTGCATGAGTCAAGCAAAGTGAATAAAGTCTGTCACTATAAGCGGCATCACGTATGTGTTGACATATGGTCGACTTCATCTCCAATGTTTTGATAATAACAAACAAGATTAATATTATTTCTAACAATTTATTTTGAATGAGACAGTTCAATATTAAAATCAATCAAGCATTATATCTGACTTGAAATGAAGATTAAAGTGAAAGTTAAGCATTCAAGTCAAATCATTTGAGACGGGAGCTTAAAAGATAAATGCTAAGAAAGATTAAGATCAAGAGCATGAGAAACGACATCAAAGAAATATCAAGACGAGAAATTCAAGAGCCAAATAGGAAAAAAATTTCGAAGCAAAATCAAAGACTAGGTCTTTTAGATTATATGTAAATGTATAACACATTGATATTTAGTAATGATGATAATAACTCAAAAATCATTTTGTGCACGAAAAGTTATTTTTACTATCACTTGCATACAATATTTTAATCTAAAGTAAGATTGATTTTTCAAAGTCATACTTGAATTTAGATCACAAATCTAAAAAAAAGGTCAACGGTCAACTAAACGCATAGGTCGCCAATGGTCAGATTTTTTAACAATTCTGACTTTTGACGCGTAATAGCTAATTTGGTCGTCCGGTTTACAAGCGGACGTCCCGTTGGGCAAAACTTTTCGTTTTGATTGCTATAAATTCTACTTCAGTCTTCACTTTCATTCATCACAACAACCATGAAGAGAGCTTCCTTGTGAAATATATTTGTGAAAAAATTTCTTTGAGTTTACATTTTTTATTTTTATTTCATTTATTTTTTTATAGCAAAAACTTCGACTGTTGAATCAAACTTCTTGAATCAATTTCTCTCGTCAAAATTTTTCATTTCTCTTCGTTCTTAACTTATTTATATCAATCTTAAGAAAGAGATATATTTTTGAAGGTGTTTGCACCTATGTTACATAATCTTTTCTACTTCTTTATAGCAAAAACTTTAATTGATTAAATCAAATTTGTAAAATCATCATATTCATAAAAGTTTCTTATTTTTCTTAGTACTTAACTTATTACAATCATTCATTTAAAAAGAGATATTTGTTGAGAAGATTTTTTTTGAACTGACATTGCATTTATTTATTCATAATCTTCTCATTGAAACATTTTGATTGATGGAATCTAAATTTTAATTATCATATTCATCAAAGTTTTTTATCTAACATTTGAGCTATCATTTATTACTATTCATTGAAGTGTTAGCCTCTCCTAGTAGTTAGTTTGTTTTGTATTATTTATTAAGAGATGATTTCATTGTAAAATCACTTTGAAAAAGTGTGCGTCGTGTTGAAATCCCGTAAAGATTAACATTGTATAAGGATTGATGCTCCTTGTTGTAAGTCACTATGTCTGTTATATTGCGGTATCGTAAAGTTCAATAGTGTGGGTCATGTTGAGGTCTCGTACAACTCATTATTGTATAAGGATTGACGATCCTTGTTTGTAAGTCATCGAAAGCGTTGTAAAATGTTGGATTGCACCACAAGTTAATCAACATAGTGAAAATGCATTGCTCGTGTCGGAGAGCCTGTTAACGGAGGATGTAGATCATTACTTTGGATTGAACCTCTATATCGTTTGCATCTTGTCTCCCTTTTACTTATTGCTTTTATATTGCGGTTATTATTCGAATTTACCTTTTTAGTCTTTACTTGCTTTCGTATATATGCATATTTATTAATTGTCTCATTTGCTATCATACAAGTTTAAATCTAGAATTAATTTTTTTAAAAGTTTTAAAAACCAATTTACTCCATTTTGGTTAGTCATTCTTGGACTTTTAGTATGCAGACATTCCTTCGCGCTATCTTTCTTGTGAATATACGAATGTGAAAATAGTAGAACCAAAACCGCCGAGCACAAGTTCAGTCTGTTTGTTTTCGATTTGCAAGTCCTTACTATGTGTCTATTTTAAATGAGACGTGCTTAAACGGGCTTCCAACTAAGTTCCTTATCACAATAATTGCTATATGCTTTCTAAATATCCATTCCATTTTGAATACTAATATTTTTTCGTGTCATACGTTGACAGCAGTCATTTGATTTTTTCTTTAACCTTTTAATTTCGAGTATTTCTTCTTGTTGAATATCCTCCAGTCAATTGGAACATTTTTAAATGTATCGTAGTCGGATGGAGTACTCGAACTACCTTTAATTGCTTACCTTCTTCGCTAGCGAAATTCATTGATATTTATGAAATTTGGAACACTTAAAATTGAAAAATTTATAGTAAAAGAAACTAAATATCGAAGCGAAGAAGTTGGAGAGTAGCATTGAAAAATAGAATACTGTAAATTAAAATATTGTTGAGTGAAGTGGATCACGAATCCAAAATTTTACCTTCCTGTTTATAGCCAAATAAATAAATAAAAAAAATAAAAAATTGGCCATTCACAAAATTTGAAATTCAATCAAAACTAGTGTAGTTGTCAGCAGCTACATGCTAGCAGTCAGATATATAAAAAAGGTTGAACCCCAACTTTATGGGTCCCCCACCTCCCTGGAGTATCGTGAGGGAGGTAAATCGCAGGTTATGCCTCCAAGGGTACACGGTGGAAGGCTGCTTGTACACTTGCACTTATTCAAGAGCCAAATTTATATTTCAAGATTCGAACCCTCGACGCGGTACCGTTAAGCAAAGTTAGATTTTCCCACCCTCCCTTTTTATCACTTGGAGATGTGCCCTGGGGACAGCAGTCAGCTATATAGCTACTTGCAAAGATGTTGCATCTTGGAGGCAAAGCAGTTTAGTTTGCTTCTGTACAAGCTGCCGCCTGCCGTATAATCACATAGCCATTTTTGGCCTCACACGAGTCGGCTGGCAACACTCAAATAGATTGGGGGACCGATAGTTCAATTTAAAATTCGTAAACTTGAGATCGAAACGTTGCCGTTTCTATGGTAGAATAGAAATCAGTCCTCTCTGCAATACAGTAAAAAGCGGCACACTCATTTCTCTCCGACCCAAGCAAATCCAAACCCTAGGCTTAACGAACACAGGCGCACCACCACCGATGGTGATCCGCCACCTCTTAACCGCCGCCCGCCGCTCTCGAAATCCGACTCATGCACTCACGGCCGTGCGCTCCCACTCCACGGCCGTCGCCTCAGCTACCTCTCCCTTACTCCCCTCCCCGCCTCCCCCAACCGCCATGATCTATGACAGACTAGCCGAATCTGTCAAGGAAAAGATCAAGCAACTCGAATCTCCGGACCCGCGATTCCTACAACACAACTCTCCGCACCCATCCTTAGCTTCTCACACCGAAATCCTATCCGCTCCATTAACCCGGATCACCACTCTCCCCAATGGCCTTCGAGTTGCTACCGAGTCCACTCTGTCCTCACGAACTGCAACCGTTGGAGTGTTTATTGATGCTGGGTCGCGTTTCGAGACCGAGGAGACTAATGGGACTGCTCATTTCCTGGAGCATATGATATTTAAAGGGACTGAGAGGCGGTCTGCAAGGGGGCTGGAGGAGGAGATTGAGAATATGGGTGGACATTTGAATGCCTATACTTCCAGAGAGCAGACTACTTATTATGCTAAAGTGATGGATAAGAACGTGCCGCAGGCACTGGATATTCTTTCGGATATTCTGCAGAATTCGAAGTTTGAGGAGAACCGGATTAACCGGGAGCGAGATGTTATTCTCAGAGAGATGGAGGAGGTATTGATATAATTATTTTTCATTTTAGGTTCACATTTATGTCTTCTGTTGTGTTGTGATTTTGAGTATTTTTATGTTTAATTGGTAAAGATTGTGGCTTTTTGGTTGAATTCGCGTTTGGTGGACAAAGATTGTTGCTCCGTGATTGAATTTTGTGTTTGATAGATAACTGTCTTCTTGATTAGTTTTTCTAAGTACTATGTCTTCTTCCTAGTTTCTTCTACTTTGTTGGATAAATTTTGTGCCTTTCAATTGAATCTTGTGCCTTTTGGATAACTAATGTAATTTCTTCACAATTTTTTTACCACAATGAATGTAACTTCTGTTGATTAATTTTTCTATCTGTTGTATCATTAGGTTGATACATGATGGCTTCTTTTGGATCCGAATTAAAAGGGCAGGAAAAGATAGTATGGAAATATGAAATACTATTCATTTGTGAAAGAGTCGAATTTTTTGTTGGAAATAAAAAGGAGGGTTTTTAGTGTTATTATCATAATAAACAAACGTTGATTTTGTTGCCTAATAGTGGTCAGCCAATTAAGATAGACATTCCGAAATCATACTACTGATCCGTAGTGTAACTTTACTTATAAACATCTATATACCAATGAAAATATTGAAGATTAGGGCATCTTAAATTTGATAATATTTCAGAAGTGTCACATCAGGCCGGCTGTTGCCAAAAGTTGAAATATATTTTTTGTGTAATGCAAAGAGATGTTTTCTCTAGCCAAAAGTTTAGATATTTTCTTAAACTCGATATTCCCCATTTGACTTTTCAAGGCGACACAGACTACATATGGTACATTAAGGTTTTAACATGACTTGTGGCATGCATGTACTCAAGAAGCCATGGATATTTTCCTTATTATAATTTGTTCTAAAGGTTTCCACCTGTTAGAGAGGGAGTCTTGTTTGTCATTACAATAGATCCTAGCAGTTAGTCCTGAGAAATAATCATTTAATATGAATTTTGATATGCATTCTATTTGGAGAATTATTTATTTCTCATAACTTTAGTTTGTGGTCTCCAAAAGGATGGTCAAAATTCTCTCGATTATGGTGCACTGGTTTAAATTTCTCATGCTTCTTGTCAGCCCTGAGTTGCTCTATTTGTTTGTTCATGATTATTGTAGGTTGAAGGTCAGACAGAAGAAGTTATATTCGACCATCTACACGCCACTGCATTCCAATACACGCCCCTGGGTAGAACAATTCTTGGACCTGCTGATAATATCAAGACAATTGGCAAAGAGCATTTGCGAAACTACATATCAACACACTATACTGCACCCAGGATGGTAGGTCTTTTTCCATATTAGTCCAGCTAGTTTGTTAGGTGGTTGTATATATGCCTTACACAACTGGTTTTTCGCTGCTGATCAATTATTGAAGTTTTCTCTGTGGCTTTTATCATAGGTGATTGCTGCCTCTGGTGCTGTCAAGCACGAAGATATTGTTGAGCAAGTGAAAAAATTGTTTACGAAGCTATCGACAGATCCAACAACAGCATCTGAGTTAGTTGCTAAACAACCCGCAATCTTCACAGGCTCAGAGGTATCCTTATTTTGTTCAGGTGTTTGATGGTCTCCAAGGGTTATGTTCTCATTATCGCGATCTCGTGGAAAAATCAGGTTAGGATGCTTGATGATGACATTCCTCTCGCGCAATTTGCTGTTGCTTTTGAAGGGGCATCTTGGTCGGATCCAGATTCCATTGCCTTAATGGTCATGCAGTCGATGTTGGGTTCCTGGAATAAAAATGCTGGTGGTGGAAAGCATATGGGGTTAGTTTTTTTTCAAATTATATTGTAGAGTTCATGTAATTTAATTGTATGATACCCCTGATTTTAGTGCATAACCATATTGAATCATTGATTGGATTTTAAATCATTCTGCAGTTCTGAGCTTGCACAGAGGGTTGGCATCAATGAAATAGCTGAAAGCATGATGGCTTTTAATACTAACTACAAAGACACTGGTTTGTTTGGTGTTTATGCTGTTGCTAAGGTGGGCTCTCACTTTAAAGATAAATTAAAGGGTAAAAAACTCGTGATTAAGCGCTGTTTGATAGGGATTAAATAGACTTTGATAAAAGTTGATGAAATGTGTGGTTGAAATTTGTGATCTCATAAAATATGTAGTTAAAATTAATTGTAGACTTTGACTTAGATTAAAATCTAGATTTTAATTTTTACCAAACGAGGGCTAAAATTAATTAAAAAAAGCCACCAGCCATGTCAAACCCCCACTCCCCCAATTCCCTACTATGAAAGCCCAAACGGGAAAGTTTTCCCTTTGTTGATTGTCGTGATTATACTTAAGTCATTTGATTATGGAGACAATCTTGACCTACAGTTATGTTCCACTCATGTTGGATGTTAAAATTATGCCCCCTTTTGACCCCCACTTTTTAAAACTAATTTTTTTCGAAAATCATTTTCAACCACATTTCATGAGATCTACAAATTTTATCAACTTCTTAATCCACATTTCATCAACTTTTATCAAAATCTAATAAACATATGATTTTTATCAAAACCAAACAAGGGCTATATTTCCTGACAGTTGCACGAAGATGTGTATTGTTTATGTTCCGAAGGTATAGCAAAGTGACATTGTCTTTAATTTACTCATTAACTTTGCGTGTGATGTCAAGTTTATGCTGACTTGTAATTGCAATTTCTTGGTGCTTTGTTATTTTGTACTTTTTAATGTGATAGTAGTTGAGTAACAAAAGAAATTAATTCTATGATTCTATCAGTCAAGTTACTAATGTCTAAATTTTTTGACAGCCTGATTGCTTGGACGATTTAGCCTATGCAATTATGTATGAGATCAGCAAGCTATGCTATCGAGTATCAGAGGCTGATGTGATCCGTGCTTGTAATCAGGTAAATGTCGGTTCATCAATGGTCATGATATCAAGTTGATCTGCGTATGCTGAAAAGGTTCCTTGAGAACACATTTAACTATCTAATTTTTTCTAGTAGCATATGCAAGTTGTACAAACTATCGTTTTCAACTGAAATAGTTGTTTGTTTTTTTTCCCTTTTTGTTATTACTGCTACAGTTGAAGTCTTCTCTGATGCTTCACATTGATGGAACTAGTCCTGTAGCAGAAGATATTGGGCGCCAGGTATAATTCATCTACCAAAACTGAAATATTGCCTGATAAACATGCTAACATTACTATATATGCTCTTTGTTTTATTAATCAATAACTTTGCTTTAGAATATTTTGAATCTGGTTCTCCGCATTTTTCTTTTTCTTCCACAATTTTTGTTTGTACTTATTTTTTTGGTGAGTTTTGAATATGGTTCAGTGTTTATGAGAGGATTTTAGTATATCTCTTTTTTTGTTCATAACTTGGTTTCCTTTTCTATTTCCCTTTTTCCTCTCCGCGGGGAAGGGTCTTAGTAATGGTGGGAACTCTGAGGATGAAACTTCTGTTGGAAAATGGGTGTAGTGAGACGTGCTCTCCTGTTTATACTGAATTTGGCTCAAGATACAAAGTGGCTACTGTAGCTAAATATCTTCTAAGTATGTTATTTTTATTTCTCTCACCTAAAGCATCGATGCTTTTTGTACTGGTGCTCATGAGGTATGGCACCATAGTTTGCATGACTGCCCCTGTGCATCGCAAAGTAATACTTCAAGTTGCCTGATGTGTATACTGTGCAGGACAACCTTGAGTTATTGTGGTTTTTCATGATGATAACTAAAGAAGAGGTGAGATAGAAAACTTGGAATCATACCTAGAATTTCCTGACATCACACTAATGGTTAGATTGTATAATCCAATATCAGGAATGCTTCCGAAGCTCTGTAAAACTCAATGATCATCTCTCTGATTGATTAAAGAATAGGGATATATTAATGGACTCTACAGGAACATCTCTTTCAAGAATGCTTCAGAAGTCCTGTATAACTAAATAACTATGTCTGTGTGTAATTAAAGAAGCATAAAGGTGTATTTATAGTCTCCAAAGAACTTCCCTTCCAATTGAGACAGAGAGTTGATCTAAGTATACTAACTCAGTTGTCAAATAAAAGCATCTAAACCATGACTACAAATTCTGAAGATTATTTTGTAAAAAACACAAGAAACTAGACAGAACACTGGTTATTTTTACCTCTTGTTTTTAGGCCGGCCTTCATCAGTCTGCATATTGACATGCATCAGTCCCCAACCTTTGTGTATCCCACTTTTTTCCGGCGAGTCCTGAGTTTGCCTTGAATTTCTAGGAAAACATATGAGAAGATTTGATTAGCTATCACACTTGGACACTGTCAATGGTATGTTAGTTATCCAGGTATTCTGTATGATATTCTGTAGCTAAACACGTTGGTGAGTGTGATGGGAAAGTTCAATTCCATTGACTTTCTATGAAAAACTTATCTTGAAGATCAAACAATTATTAATTATCAGATCTGGCAGTTGTAACTTGTAATATTTCACACTTCCAATGCTCAAAAACAACCATTTGCATTCACGTGTTCTGTACAAAGCTTATTTTTATTGCCATCTATATTTTTATAATGTTTCATGTCCTGTAAAACCTGAAAAATGGATGGTTACATATCACTAGTCCTTGAGTCCAAAAAGATAAGTTACCAAAAATATTATCTCCATTTTTTGGCCCTTAAAAGAATTAGTTTATGCTGAAGTTAGCCCCTGTTCTGAAAAAGCTGATAACATCTTTTTCGTATGTAAATTTTACTCAAGGAAAAATGGAAAAAGTATGATTTAATAGAGAGGAGTGAATCTTTGCCCAAGTGATTTCTTTCTTTTCCTTGGTCAAATATTGGAAGATCATAAAATTAGTCAAGTAGCTAAACAACATCACTTTATTTTGGATGGAATTATGTTTGAATTTTATCTAATTTCGCCCTCAATTCCTTTTATATTCTATTATGTTAGTAAATAGTATTTGTATTTCACTTCAAGGTTGGCATATGAATATGTCTATCTACCCATGCGCAAAGCAAATTACCCAGCAGGACAAAGTAACTTCAAGTTTCAATATTCCATTCTAATACCTGTCTAAGGATTATTTGAAATGAAATATGAGTTATTAGGTCCTAGAAAAATTTGTTTTGGGATGTGGAACAAAGGTTTTTTTTCCAGAAAAAAACTATCAATTAGAGATGATTTCCTTTTTGAATTTATTAGAGCTTTGATTGTAGTAGTTTTCTGAAAGGCGAACTTTTACGACCTTGTTGGACAGCAATGGCTCCTACATGATAATTCTTGTACAAGTTGAATGATATTTGTTTAGGATCTTGTTTTGTGGGTAAGATTCTCATGGTCTATTGGGGAAGATAAAATCTAGGAATGATCTACCAAAAGGCTCGTCTTTCAACGGGAGAAATTGACTTCTTTCAATTGGATTTGGCTGATACATTAATTTATTCACGTGACTTGTTGTAACTAATTACTGTTTCCCACTTTTTCTTTTTCTAATTTATTTCTTTGTGCTTGCAGCTGCTTACTTATGGTAGAAGGATACCATTTGCTGAATTGTTTGCCAGGATAGATTCTGTAGATGCAAGTACAGTCAAACGCGTTGCAAACCGATTTATCTTTGACAGAGTAAGATGGAATAATTTCATTCTAAAGCATTTTTACTGTTTAATACATCTTTTGCATACCGTGGTTTTTTAAGTTACCGCTTCTGTTATAAAAACTTCTTTTTGAAGTGAGTAAACTTACTCTAGAAAAGTTAAACTTTTAAGCAGAGAAACGCGATCTATGTGCTATAGAGCTTAAACTGAGAGTTATGAGTAGACAATCTACTAATTCTCAATATGTTCATAGCTTTTCATACTGCTGCTTTTACCATGTTGCTTGTGTAGGATGTTGCTATTACTGCTATGGGTCCCGTCCAGGGCTTACCCGACTACAACTGGTTCAGGCGCAGGACCTACTGGCTTCGTTACTAGTTTTTCTTTGAGATCACATTTTTAATTATTTGTTTTCTTTATTTTTGGCCGAGTCAATCCTCATTATGCTCCATCACTTAACCTATTTGCTTTTGCTTTCGCTTTTTTTAACACTCCAACTGGTTAAAATAATTGAGCCGTTGTATTCAGTGATTTTGGTGAAATATATACTGAATGTACCAATTTTTTAATATGATGGCACCGGTGAACGTAATGAAGGTGGATACTTGACACGGTTATAGTATTGAGCCTGTTTGATGTATATTTTTTTAGGATGTATTTTGTAAGAAGTGATTTTTTTTTTTTTTTGGAGAAAGTGCTAAGCAAGGAAATGATGGGTTCACGTGTGAAATTATTTTATTGGGAGAATATGTTGTTGATGATGAACTTGAAGGAAAAATGAGTTTTAAAGAATATATATCAAATATGAGCTTTTTTTTCTTTGGTATCTGGTTTTTGTTTATTTGTGCAAAGAAAGTTACTCTTTAATGTTACCAGAAAATAAGGGTAGTAGCCAACGTACTGAAGCATTTAGTGCCAGTCGAAGCCTCCTAAGTATCATTCTCTCTTCGTTTCCCTATTTTTCGGATGGAACCGCTTTTTGCCGGAAACTGATTACAAGGTATCATTTTATTTGCAGAACAGTAATTAAAAAGGTTTTAAAAAAAGAAAGGAAAAAAAATTTGTATCTTTGCCCTAAATGGTGACAAGAACAGTTTTTAGTGACTGCAGATGAAATTTACCCATAGTTTCATCTTGGGAGGGATGCATGTAAACTAGACAAAAAATAAGAAGTATAATTGTTTCAATGGTCACTGATCTTAGTTCTATATTTTTTATTGGTCATTGATGTTTAAAATGTCGAGTTTTGGTTATCGAACTTAGGTTTATGTTTTCGATTGTTTATTGAAGTTTAAAATGTTAGGTTTGGTTACTGAACTTTGAAAAATAATGTACGTTACTTAATAGTATAAATGTTGAATTTTTAAAAATATCGAGTTTACAGTGAGTAATGTACAATATTTTTTTTTAAAGTTCAATGGTTAAAATTCGATATTTTAAATTTCAGTGAGCAATCAAAGACATAGACTTAAGTTCAGCGATCAAAACTCGACATTTTACACTTTAGTGACCAATCAAAGATATGGGTTTAAGTTCAGTGACTAAAAGTCGATATTTTAAACTTTAGCAATTAATCAAAAATATGAATTTAAGTTTAGTGACTATTGGAACAATTAACTCCAAACGTACATATTCAAAAGGGTACTATTACTTGTAAGTATTTTTTAACTCGAGCAAACCATCTAGCAAAAATTTGGGTGCTGATGTACCCATCGTCCAACAGTGCAATTTTTTAATCTCTCTTGCCTTCATTGCTCAAGAATTCGAAAGTTATTAACAATGCACTAGTATATATGAAAGATGAATGTAAAACCAAGGCTCATTACACTATACATTATATATAGAGTTATTTGTAATAAAAAATGATTTAATAAGTACAGGTGCTCATATTATATTAAACATAGATGATGTGTACCAATGAATTTATATGACACGTCACCGATGTTTAACATAAGATGTTAAGTATATCGTCCTTATATATATTAGTAATAACTATTAGCTTAAAAAGCTACTTCTACATCATTAGTTCCAAGTATATTAGAGCCTCAGCTAGTTTACCAGCGGCAGTTGGTGTTATCCAATGGAAGAGTTCTAATTAGGCTAATGTCGAACCCAACAATGAATGCACGAGGTTAAGATTATTCGTTATTAGGATTGACAGCTTCCTCTTCTTCTGATTAATCGTCCTTTGGAAAATTAAGAGAATCAATCTCTCCATCTGAATCAGTAGTTAGATCATCCTTCATCAGGAAAATCTTACATACCACCAGATTTGATATCTACTTAGGAGATTTTGCTTGCATAAAACACAAATGAAGGGGCTGGTACCAACATATGGATTATCAAGGCATCTCAGAATGGCCATTGATGCTAACAGAGAGATGTGTAGGGGTTTGTGAAGTTACTTGGATGGAGGTATACGGGTTGCCATGGAAGTTGATTCTAACAAAGGGATGTAATGACTAAATAATTGCATAAGGTAACTGCCCAAAAATCTGGAATTCCGGTCCAAACATGTCTCTATGCGAATCACATCATTCCCTTTCTCTTCAAAAGGGTTCGTTCTCGAATCCACACCTAGTTCAAATATAGTTGCAATTTATTCTTTATTTTTGTTTATTTAAAAGGGGTGTATATTTGTTATTTTACATCTTTTAATTGAGAAAATGGATGAAAATGATGATTTTCGCAATAAAATATGAAATAAAGGTGGAAATGTCAAAAAAATGAAACGTAGGGATATTTTGCACAATAACAATGAAAGGTAGGGACATTTTATACTAGTTACCCTTTTAATAATTTATTTGGACTCATTCGCATTTTTTAAAAAAATTTGGGAGGATGATTGCAATTTAATCTTATATATATATATATATATAAAAAGTTAAAATTATCTATTCATAAGTAAGAAAAATACTTATAATAGATAGTAAAGTAAGCATTATTTTCAAAATAACTAAGCGAATTACTTTCAAAATAAGTAACTAAGGTCGCGTTTTGTTTGTTGTTCTCAATTTTGAATTTTTTAAAATACTTAAAATGCGTTTGGTTTGATAATCTTGAAAATACATTTTCAAAATCAAAGTTAAACTCATAACATAAGAGTGCTTTGAATGTTTTCAATAAAAATTCTAAAAACACTCAAAACAGTTGTTTAAATAAAATTTTAAAATTTTAAAATATATATTTCTAACAAATAAAGTTTTAAAAAAATATAAAAAACAATAATTCTATAACAATAAAACATAAAAATTCTGAAAAATATAAAATTATAATTTTTTTGGAAAAATAAAAATTATAAAAAATAAAAATCATTCAATCTGTTAATGATAATTTATATAAAAAATATTAATAATATTTAAATGAACATAGATAAAAATATTCTCAATGCCTGTCATTAATTTTTATGTTTAGTTTCTATATTTCTAACTCAATTGTTTTTTTAATTTTTTTGTTCTACTTTTGTAATGAGAAAGAAATATTGTAAGATTCGCTAACTCTAAAATATATCCATTGTTTAGTAAAAATTAAAATTTAGATTTTAATTTTAGTTAAAGTCAACAATTAATTTTAATCGCAAATTTCATACGACCAACAATTTTTCAACCACATTTCATCAAATTTCATCAAATTCGATTGAAAATCTGATTTTAATATCCACCAAACAGTGACATTTATTAGTTGATAATATATTAACATAAAATTATTCTATTTTTATTGAATAATCAAATTTCATAGAATAAAATTTTATAAAACAAATTTCCAAACCAATTGCGTTTTCGAATTTTTTATTTTGAGAAATAATTTTCAGAATAACCAATTAAATGCGTTTTTAACAATCTTAAAATAGACCATCAAAATAGAAAATTGAAAATAAACTAAAAACTCAAAACTGAAAATTGAAACTCGAGCCATACGGGCCCCTAACATTTTTAAATTTAATAAACACAAATATATTATTTTGAAAATTAGGTAAGATTAACTAAACTTGCACTCAATACTATAAATGCCAAAGATACATAGTTAATGTGATGATAATAGAAGAATATATAGAACTTCTTTTTTTCAATCCTTAATCCATGCTACGAGATCCTTGAAATTATTATAAGAGCTCCCTCCTTCTCGAACGCTGTTTAGGACATTTGATTGAAGATCCAACGCCAATTCTTTAAATCTTTCGTCACCCAAAAGTTGTTCTAGTTTGTTGTAAATCTCTTCATGCCTAATTATTCCACCTTCATCTTTATTCAACTTCAATCCTATTTTCAAATAATCACAAATGTAGCTCTGATTGAACATTTGATCCGAGAAATACGGCCAACACAGAAAAGGGACTCCATTGCTTATGCCTTCGATGGTGGAATTCCAACCACAATGGCTAATGAAACAGGCAATGGAAGGATGGGATAGGACGTTTTGCTGCGGTGCCCAAGCCACTATTCGCCCCCAATTACGTACTCTTTCGCGGAACCCTATTGGGTATGCATTATCGACATCTTCAGCTGTGTTTTCTCGCACGACCCACAGGAATGGTCTTTTGGTGAGTTCAAGGCTGAGAGCAAGTTCTTTGAATTGATTCTGATCAAATACCATGGAACTTCCAAATGCAACATATATGACAGAATTGCGTTGTTGTTGATCAAGCCACAAGAGGCAACCTGTTGAAGACAAAATTCAAATAAATATGTTGTCCCTATTCTTGCATCTTAGTTTTTTAGATAAAAAGTTTCAACATCGTATCAGAGTAAACGGGAATATTAATTTATGAAACTAAATGCAAGAGTCAAGGTCTTATATAAAAAATAATAATTCAGCTTTTGAGGGGCATGAATTTAAATAAACATATGTTTTCTTCTTCTCTTTTATTATTTTTTTAGCTTAATATTGTCTCTCGAAAACCTGAGTCTTGTTGCCAGAAGTTGCCAGCTGAGTTTCCAAGCCTATTACTTGCCAGAAGAGGTCCTATGGGTAAAAAGTTTGGAAATGAAGCAAATGTCCCAGGCTCCAACCAATTAGATGAGTTGCAAATTAACCTGTCTGACGATTTAACCAACTGCATATTTTTTACCAAGAGTTTGAAGAACAATTTCTGGCCCACTTCATCGTTGAAACAATTCCAAAAGAAATCTGTTGTCTTCATGGGAGGCATCGCTTGTGAAAGCTGAATTATCTGGTTTTTCATTGGTGTTCCTGTATAGAAAGTTCAGTAATATTAGTAATATAGAATACAATTTTTTTGTTTAGAAACTTAGATCCCCCCTTGAACTTATAGTCATATTCTGAAATGGTACGTGGACTTCAATGTCAATATCGACACTATGTTTTAATTTTTACCATTTATTCACTAAAGTCAATTCGGTCCATAGAAACCAATGGCGACGGTGATTTAGTTAATAGCATGCTTATGTGGCGTGACAGTGAAAGTTGTGATCAACCAGAATGTATATGAACAAACATGATAAAATGAATACTCTTCAATTAAAAACAACTTTGTTCATCGAAATTACAATCGAGTTGAACAACTAATTAAGGACCATAATCCACAATCATACTCCATAGCATTCCTTAAATCAAATGAGTGACTGTTAGTTTGGAGTTGCAGAATCAATTTTAGAGAATAATTAGGTGGTATTATAAAGTTTAATTATTATAAATTCAAAGATCAATTACGAGCATGTCGAAAACATGTTTGGCAAAACTTAAATGCTAGAAAAGAATCATCATATCACTTAAGATTAGCCAAACATGCTCTAAGTTCATGGATAAACTTGCTTATAGACACCATTGTTTTGGGGGATATCTTCTAGGGAAGAGAACATGGCAAAAATCCCATTAATTGAATTTTTTCTGCTTTTAGAACATCTCCAAGAGACTTTATAAAAATTAGATATTCTCTCTATTTTAAAGAGTCAATTCTTAAAAACATGTTCGAAGAGACTTTTGAATTAACATTTTAACTTTATAATTAAATGTATTCAAAGCGTTTCAATTTTTAAGGTAGAAAAATAATAAAATAATGTAGAGGAAAGCTAATTAAAATAAAAGACAGAGAAAAATGATAAATATATTTACAAAAGTAGTAAAATTAAGTGTTAAATATAAAGTGCTTGTTCGATTAATTCAAGATTTTAACTCTCTAGATAAATAGATACTCTTCAAATGTAGAATATGCTTTTTGAAAATATAATCACTTGAAGATGCTCTTAGAATATAAAATTAGAGGGAAAATTGAGGTGCTTGATGTTGAAAATAAAAATTAACAAAGTTTCGAATAAAGTAGTGAAGACTAATTTATGTTTAAAACTGTAATAACCTTCACTGTCTATGATTCCTTCGTCAATAAGGCTCGGAATTTTGAAGGACTGGGCGAATAACGCTGATGCGGCTGGCCAGAAAGCCACTTTCTTGATTCCCATTTTCTCTGCAATCTCGATAGCCCAACCCAAGCTGGTCTCGGCAATTATACAACTGATTTTATCACTTTCCGAACCATTAATCCGTTCAATAAGAA